AAGAAAAATTCACAAGACCAAAGCCTGAGCCGCGGTAATTCTCTCGTTTAATTTTGAACTTCAAAGGTCGAAATTTGTTGTTCCATGCGCAATCCGGGCTTGTTGACGCTGCTCCTTGACCACCAAAAGTCCAGACGGTCGAGCACAGGTCGACCAAAGTTCAAATGTGAAGTTCAACAAAAAACATAAACTTCAACCAGATTTGCAAAAGACACGCGCCTTATGAGTTGTAAGAAGATGAGTTGCGTAGAATACAATATCGCGGAAGAGAATACAACTACTAAGCAAATAATGAGGCATATGACAGATATAGCGACGGCCAGCTAGGCCGAGGTCGCGGGGCCGTACAAGGTTGGGTGCAGGTTTGGGGTTGGGAAACCCGAAGGCGATGCGAGGGACGTTCGGAGGGCGAGGTCATCGGACCGAGCATGAATTTCGAAAGTTGGAATTCTACGCGAACAGAGTGCCTCAGTAAGGAATTAGGCGAAATTCCTTACACTACCCCCCCCCTTAAGAAAGGTGGTCAATGTCAGGCATGCGTTGACAGAGAATATAATCCTTTAATACCGACTGGCCTTGCAGCGAATCGGCCGGCACCCACGTGTCATCTTCGCTTGTCCAGGATCTTGGATGGCTTAAGTGTCGGGTCTGCGACGAGCCGGACACTTGGTGCAACGTTGGGACGGGCGATGTCGGACGACTGCAGAGCCACGTAATGGCGGAGCAGGCTGGCGTGGAAAGCGTCGTGGATTTTCCAGTCATACGGTAATAATAACGTCGTCGTGACCGGTGTCAACATCCAAAAGATGCAGAAGGTGTCAGAGGTCCACTGGGGATCCCCGATGATCCTAGGGAAGGGTTACAGGCACGTCGGTATGGGGGGTTATGGGCGCACTCACCCGCTATATAAACAAGCTCTTTTATCCCAGTGGTTAGTGGCTGGGATTCTGACATGGTATCAGAGCGAAGGTCTCGGGTTCGATTCCCGGTGTGTGCACTTCGGGCATCCCAGTGCGGGGGGGTGTCAGAGGTCCACTGGGGATCCCCGATGATCCTAGGGAAGGGTTACAGGCACGTCGGCCTGGGGGGTTATGGGCGCACTCACCCGCTATATAAACAAGCTCTTTTATCCCAGTGGTTAGTGGCTGGGATTCTGACAGAAGGGTCCCACGTAGCCGGGACGCAATTTAGCACGTTGGGGCAGCTTCAGATTTTTTGTGTCCAGTAGGACCATCGGCCCGTCACGGAAGGGTAAGTTCCATCGATGCTTGTCAGCGTAGCAGCTAGCAACAGTGTTAGCCTTTCGGATTAACTTTGCTGCTAAATTGCGGGCCGCTTGAAGTTCCGACACAAACTGCTGCGATCGTGGTTCCGGATTGTCCGGGGTCGTTGAAGAGGGTACCACGTGGTCTATCCCGTAAATGAGGTAAAACGGGGACTGATTGGTCGTTGCTGAGGGCGTATTGTTATCCGTAAACTCCAGCATTGGGAGAGAATCCTCCCACTTGGTCAAGACGGGGCAGTTTGTGCGAATCAACTGCTCCATAGTCTGATTTGTCTACTCTGTCTGACCTTCGGTTTGCGGGTGGTATGACGACGAAAACTGCAGGCGGGTACCGTACTGTGCCCACGTCTCCTGCCAGAGTTTCGACGCGAATTTCGGGTCTTGATCGCTTATGGTCGCAGAAGGTAACCCGTGTAGGCGTACGACGGTTGAGATGAACAGCTGCGCGATTTCTTCGGCTGTGATCGTCGTGCGGCATGGTGCGAAATGCATCATTTTCGTCAATTGGTCAACGACGTCTAGCACCGAGTAGTTGCCACTTGTGCCAGCCAGCAGTCCGGTGATGAAGTCCATCGTCACTTGTTGCCACGGTCGTTCGGGTGGCTCGAGGGGCTGCAGCAATCCAGTTGGGCGTTGGCGTGATTATTTCATCGCTTGGCATATCGGGCAGGCGGACACGTAGCGCTGCACGTCCGACGCCATGTCGGGTCAGTAGTAATTCCTCTACAAAAGTTCAATGTTTTGTCGACACCGAAATGCCCGGAGAGGTTGGAGTCGTGAACCTCTTGCGTCCTCTTGTGTCTTGTGACTTTTAGGTAATAACATCCATGTGCCGTGGTGACCCGTTGATGTTGATTCGTCTTGAAGAAACGGTCGGTTCGGTAGCCGTGCTTGAATAATTCTGCCAATAATGGGTTAGAATGGGCAATGAGTACTGCTGCGGTCTGCATTGGTGAGCGGGTCAGGGCGTCGGCGATGTTGTTGGCGCCCTTCTTGTACGTGATGGTGTAGCGGAAGTTTGGCTCCAGGTAATCGAGTCACCAGATTGGTGCGGGTTGAGCTGTGGTTGGCTGCGCATGTACTGTAATGACTTGTGGTCTATCCTGATCATAACGTCAGCTCCCGTAAGATAACATCGCCAGGTACGAAATGCAAGCACGATGGCGATCATTTCTTTAACTCGTACGTGATTGGTTGCAACCCTTTGCCGAAATCCTGTAGAAGGACGGCGCGGACAGCGAAATCGATGGCGTTCGTCACGACTTCAAACGGTCGAGATGGGTCTGCCAGCCGAAGCACCCGGGGTGAACTCAAAATTTTCTTGAGCTCGTCGAAGGCCATCTGCTCTCTCTCCCCCCAGATATACTGCGCGCCTCTGTGCAGTAGATCGATTAACGACCACGTAAACGATACTTGTTTATCCAACATATCCTGAAACACCCTGTTCATGGTGAGCTAGAACGTGTATGGTGCATTCGTCAATCCGAACGGCACCACTGTATACTGGTAACTGTCGTAGCGGGTACAAAAAGCGTCTTCGGATTGTCGTCGACGAACAAGCGAATTTGATGGTAGCCACCTCGCAAATCGATATCAAGAAGAAGCGAGCCCCGCGAAGCTGATCCAGCAGGTCATCTGTTCGCGGAAACGGGTAACGCGACTAGATGGTGATCCAACTTAGCGCTCGATAGTCGATACACATGCGCAAGCCTCCGTCCTTCTTCGGCGTGAATAGTATAAGGGAGGCCATTAATGTTGGCTCGGCCGCATGAAGAGCAGATAATCCATCTGTTTTCGCAACTCGTCGAGCTTCGGTTGGCCGAGCTGCTACCGCGACCGTACAGTTGGTTGCGCACCAAGCTCCAGCTCGATCCTGTGGTCTTCTGGTCGTTGAGGTGGCAGCCCGTCAGGCAGGTCATCCGCGAAAATTTCGGGATACCTCCAAATTATGCTCGTCACAGGGTCAGGTACAATAGTGTAGAGCGTGTCAATGTCGGCGATTTTCTCAGACACAGCCACCTCGTACAACTGTACGGCTAGCCTTGCGCTCCCACCTCTTTCACGCCCTCATCAGCGTTATTGCATTGACACGTGTTGTCGGCGGCTCTGGCTCCATCCATTTCAGAAGCGTCACACGTCCCGTGTTGCGTAGCACCGTCCCGTCGTCCAACCGATCGTCAGATTAAATCGTTGTAGCCAATCTCGCCCTAGCAACACATTGCAATCGTCGAGCGTTGTCACCAGGATCTTCATTGAAAACCCCAAACTGCATCCGAGTTTGTCGCACCTCGTTCCTGATCGCCAGTTTTGTTTTGTCCACCAGTCATGCGTCAATCTCAGGCAGACACTTGTCTAGCTTAACTTCGATATTTTTGGCCGTTGCCAGGTTGACGAGACTGTGGCTCGCCCCACCGTCAACGAATATTTTTATTTTATAACCGTTAACCCTCCCCACGACCAGCACAGGGTGATCCACGTGTTCATCCACTTTATTCGTCCGGTTGCGGTCGATAGCCCGTATCGGTACCACTACTCGGTGTGGATGGTGATTGCCGGATGACGGGGTCTCGTCAGTAGGTGGCCCGACTGCTACTGACTCGTATCTTTTCCTGACCCCTCTCCGTCGTTCCTGTTCCCCTGTTTCAGTTTCGGGCAGTCTTTCCTCCAGTGGCCCAACTGGTTGCAATTAAAGCACGTGTTTGGTGCACGTCTCGGCACATCCACACTGTTGATTGTGGGCTGGTGAGGCGGTCCACGAAACTGATTTCCCTCCCCGGAACTCATTCGCACCCACTGCATTAGCGTGTCTGTTGCTTCAGCCAGCTGGACGGCATTGTTGAAGTCGCGTGACCTCGTTTGTCGCACTTCGTACTGCACCTCGTATTTAAGGCCTTTGACATATCGATTGAGCCGCTCCGCATCACTCATGTTGTCCACTTGGTCGGCCAAGACACAAAATGTTGCCATGTAGTCTTGGACCAATGTCACCTGCTTCCTGGCATGCGGCTTCATGCGAGCAGAATCCTAGGCAGATACGTGCTCGAATCTCGTCCGTAAAGTTGCGCCCCACTCCGTCCATGTGCATATCGTGGCCACTCGAAAGGTTGAGGTTGCTCGTTGCGTGACAGGTGTCCAGGTCCCGTCGTTCGCATGTGATATCCCTGCCGAAGTCCCCTCTGTTAGAAGTGTGCGGCGCCACCACTCCAACGCTGCTCCTCGTAACAGTGTCATTGTAAAATTAATATGGGTGGCATCATCAGCAATTTGTGCAGCATTAAAGTAAACCTCCACGCCGAACAACCATGCAGACACAGTGACGCCTTTGTTGCTGGGGTTGAACAGGGGCGGGTTTGTCGATTCTATCTTAACAGTTGTCGAAACTGCTGCTGCTGCTGCATGCACTGTGGGCGCCGTTGAAACCATCGCTGGGTTTGTCGCTTGCGCCTGCCTTGGCGTTGTTTGCGACTGTTGTTTCGGCGTTGCTCGTGCCTTTTGCTGTTGCTGCGGCTGTTGCTCCAGCACTTCTTGTGCATGTTGCTACCGTGCCGTCCACTCATCTTCAGCTTCCAGCGAGCCCTGTAGCTCGTTAAGCACGTTGTCATTGAGTGATGAACTGCTACTACCTTCGTCCACGGCGGACGACTCCTGGCGTGCTTCAGCTTGCGCCTAGCGTAGTTCGGCATTTTCCACCCCCAGGCGCTCCAACTCGCTAGACATGGTCTGCATGTTGGCTTGCATCGCCTGAAAGTCCTGCATGAAGTAGTTAAACTCGGCCTGATCTATGCTTCTTAGGCTCCTCCTAACGGGCTGGTGGTTAACAGCGATATTTCTGTCTTTGATGAAGGCGCAAATGCTTGTAGTCGGAACGAAATAATCGTATCTATTTCTCAGCCGACCGTTTTGCAACCCACCAAGTCTATCGCACCCCTCCAATAAACTACCTCGAAACTGGTGGGTAACATAGGAAAGTAGCTCTGTTACCAAGTGTTATGAGTTTTAAGAAGAGTTGCGCTGAATGTAATATTGCGAAAGTGATTACAATTACTAAGCAAATACTGAGGCCTAGGACAGATAGAGCGAAGGCTAGCTAGGCCGAGGTCGCGGGACCGTGCAAGGTTGGGTGCAGGTTTGGGGTTGGGAAACCTGAAGGCGGCGCGAGGGGCGTTCGGAAGGCGAGGTCGTCGGACCGAGCCTGAATTCCGAAAGTTGGAATTGTACGCGCACAGAGTATCTCGGTAAGGAATTAGGCAAAAATCCTTACACTTACCGTAGGCTTGTTCTAGTGTTTCTGGCTAAGAATTCTTCCCAAGGAAATTTCCTTAGAAGCAAGGAACAATAGAAATAAGAAAAAAAGAAAGAAAGAAAGAAAGAAAGAAAGAAAGAAAGAAAGAAAGAAAGAAAGAAAGAAAGAAAGAAAGAAAGAAAGAAAGAAAGAAAGAAAGAAGGAAAGAAGGAAAGAAGGAAAGAAGGAAAGAAAGAAAGAAAGAAAGAAAGAAGGAAAGTAAGAAGGAAAGAAAGAAGGAAAGAAAGAATTTAGGAAAGAAAGAAAGAAAGAAAAGAAAGAAAGAGTGCAATTTTATATGTACAGTATTTACATTTTAGAAATATGACTTGGAATCCCGAAACAGATGGCCAGCCCCGACATTGAGCCGCACTCCATCTTTATTCACATTTGTACACCTCATAGCAATCTCACACATGTATACTTTCTAACCATCGGATTATGCACTTCCGCCACCTGTCCCACGCGAAAGTCAATCCAAGTCATTCCAGACACGAAACCTAAGTTTCGTCCTTTTCACGTGAGTCCCCCACGTCCTGCTCACGTTCTCCCCTGCACTGGCCACCACCCTATCATGTGGCTGCTGCATGTTGCTGCCTCCCGTGCACTTCACACTGGTTCCCGCGCAGGTGCCCTTGTTACGCTGTCGCACAAGGCATCGCCAGTGGTTTCGCCACTATGACTGCTTTTCCGCTGGCTGTGCCAATGCCGGCCTGACTTGTAGCTCTCTTCCCGTCGTCCGCGGCCCCCCCTCGTCGCCCCACGCCGTCTCGTCGCCCCGCGATCCGCCAGCGCCAGCGCGGATGCCAGCGACGAGCACCAGCGCGAGCGCTAGCGACTGGCGCCAGCCGCGAGCGCCAGCGACCGGCACCAGCTGCGAGCGCCAGCGACCGGTGCCAGGGCTAGCCACGAGCGCCAGCGCCAACGTCAGCCGCGAGCGCCGCCTGCACCAGCCCCGAGCGCCAGCGCCTGCATCAGCCGCGAGCGCCCGCGCCAGCGCGGACGCCAGTACCAGCAGCACCGCCGCTTCCGCCGTTGGGGGGGGGAGGGGGGGAGGGGGGGGGGAGGAGGGGGAGATGTGGGGGTGGCGGGTGTGAGTAGCCAGCAGCCCGTCCCTCCCTTCCCTCTTCCTCTCTCCCTACTATATCTTGCATCGACATACACACATGGCAGTAGGAACTACCTACTAGCAATGTAACGCATGCCCTACTCCTTCCTACCAACCTACCTCGCTTCTGAGCTCGATGAATATTGAGTTGCGAGAGATTGTAGTTGGGGTTGGGAAGGAAGGGTTGGGAAAGAAGGATTGGTTAGGTTTGTCCAAAGCTCAACTTTGAGGCTTGGAACATCCCAACCCATCCAAGTGAAATCACAAAGGTTGGAATTTCAACCAATCAGAAATTGCCAAATCAATGTTACAATCTACTCAATCTAAAATGCAACCATACAATGGTGCAAAGTTGGGTTTTCCAACCCAACCTGATTGCCACATAGGCTTCTAGCCTAGGGACCATCCCACCATGGAATCCATGGTTGGGAAAGTCTTCCAAGGGGTGTATTGAGGGGGATTGGAGCTACCAAGCTCATTCTCAACTTCCCACTCCAACTAATCAATTGGAAATGGGATTGTTTTGCCTAAGTTATTGAGAGCTCTCTCACACAACTCCCTACACAACTTCTTCAAGTGCTTCCCATCAAAGGCTTCAACAAGACTCACACCTTCAAGGCTATTTGGAGGGGTTAGCTAGAGCTACCATCTTGTACCAGGATTATTATTAAAGCCTTGTAATCTCTACTATAATAGCCTTGGGTGTTACATTGGTATCTAGAGCAAGGTTCTTCCTTGACTTTGTGTGGCCATTTGCTACTTGGATTTTTTTTTTTAAGAGGATCCTAGCTTGTGGATCCTAGCTTGTGGAACTGTGTCGCTGCTGAAGACTGCTCTTCCTGAGAGCGAGGTCATCCACCAGTTCTTCATGGGACTCTCTGAGCACATCAAGCGTGTGCATGTTGTGCGCGGGGAGCACCAGTGGAGGACCTACAAGGAGTGCAAGGAGCAGGTCATTGACATGGATGTGAATTTCCATGCGTACATGACTCACGCTCGTGCTCAGCAGCAGCCTAGTGCCGAAGGCCCTAGGAGGGGTGGTAGCAAGACTTAGGCACACAGGGGCGGTGGCTCTTGGAAGAGGCCCTATCAGCAGAAGGGGGAATCCTCTGGGACTCAGTCCAAGAGGGCCCATGCTGGGCCTGCCAAGGATCCTCAGGATGAGGATAAGCCCCCGGCGGGCTGCCGCATCTGTGGCAAGCTCGGCCACAAGTCCTATCACTGCCGTTGGAGGAAGTCCGTCAAGAACTCCGGCAAGCCCAACCAGGGCAAGAAGCCGGATGGTTCTGGCCCTTAAGGCCCGAAGGATTTTCCGAAGTCCAACTAGGGGGTGGGTACCTAGTTGGTGAGCGAGATCGAGTAGATGAGGCTTATGTCCTTTGTGATGAGGATTTGCTAAAGCTAGAGAAGCTTGCATCATGCAAAATCGCTTGTTTGTATGCCTCTTCTATTAATGAAAAATCTGTTTTTAAAACTCGATCATACCCACTTGAAAATATTTCAATTGAATCCTTGAGAGATAAATTTTCAATCATCTCTTGCTCGTTCAACGAGTTGCCAGCAATCATGGATATTGTGGACCGTTGCTCACGTCAGTGGGATTGGTGACTCGAATCGTGAAAGGAGAATTATTCCGCCGATTTCACGAATGGCATATCCTGGCAACATGGGACAAAGGGCTGTCAGAATGTTATTATCTAGCCTGTAGTGGGGTGCTCTATAGCGGGTACAACCCAGTTAGGGTTTGCTATATGTATCCCAACTGCAGCTAGTGAAACCCCTCCTTTGCTCATTTCTCTCTTGCCTAGCTAGGGTTTACCTAGCTATGGCTCCTCGTTCTGCCTACTATTTTAACATGCTATCAGAGCGGTTACGCTCCTGGCCTGTGGGCCCGCCTGCTTCCGCTGCCTTCCTGTGTGTCGCGCGTCCCGTGGCGCGCGATGTTTGTTTTTTTCTTCCCGCCGCGCGCTCGGGGCGCGCGGCGGTTTTCTGCCCGCCGTGGCCCCGAGGCGCGCGGCGGTTTCCTCCCTCGTGCGTCACCCCGGGGACCCGCGCTTCCCCCCCTCCCGTCGAAGCGCCCCCCGTCGCCCGTCGAAGCGCCCCCCGTCGCCCGTCACGGAGCCCGCGGACCCGCGCGTCGCCCCCCGTCGCCCGACGCGGCCCGCGCGACCTGCGCCAGGCCCGCGCGCGGCCCGTACAGCCCGCGCGCGGCCCGTACGGCCTGCGCCAGGCCCGCGCGCGGCCCGTACGGGCTGCGCCAGGCCCGCGCGCAGCCCGGGCAGCCTGCCCCAGGGCCGCGCGCCGTCCCCCGCGCCGTCCCCCGCGCTCCTGCCCCGTGCCACCCGTTTTAGGGTTTGGGGGTGGCGAGTGTGGGGGTGGCGGTTATGCAAGAGTGTGCGCCGTCCCCTGCTCCTCCTCCTCCGTCTCCCACTGCTGCAGCTGCCGCTGAGGGGGGTGGGTGTGTGGGGAGCCGAAGGAGTGGTGCTAGGGGGGTGACGTGGGAGTGGAGTTAGGGGTTCAGCAGGGGGTGTGTGTCAAGGGTGTGGGTCAGTTGGAGGAGGTTGTGTGGAGGTAGCTGTCGTGTCGCCTGCAGCGCCTGTAGTCCGTCGCCCTTGCTTCGGTAGCCAGTGAGCCTGTTGCACCAGTTGCCAGTGGGTCCGTTGCTCCTGCCGCTCGTCTTAGCCGCGGAGCCAGTCACTCCAGTAGTCCGTCGCCCTTGCTTCGGTAGCCACTGAGTCAGCCGCTCCCGTGTCTGTGCCTCTGCAGCTTCAGTCGTTGCCTCCCATCTTCTCTCCTTCCACAGTTCCTCCTCCTCCTCACTTGCCCGCTGTGATTACCTCTAGCTTTGCTTATTATTGTGAACTCCTGCTATGCTTGCTCATTGTGCTGATTACACCCCACTTTGGCTATGGGGGTGTGTCAGAATGTTATTATCTAGCCTGTAGTGGGGTGCTCTATAGCGGGTACAACCCAGTTAGGGTTTGCTATATGTATCCCAACTGCAGCTAGTGAAACCCCTCCTTTGCTCATTTCTCTCTTGCCTAGCTAGGGTTTACCTAGCTATGGCTCCTCGTTCTGCCTACTATTTTAACAAGGGCACCACGTCTGGTGGACCAGGACCCAAAGGTTTGGACGTGCTCACAACAAATTTAGGGCGTACTATCGACCCCCTAAACTAGTTGTCGCTTGTCTCATTTGTCCAAGATTCCAACAGAATTTACTGTTATCTGGACGCATGAATGGGGACGAAGCAAGGATTCTTGTCGATACGGGCGCGTCGGTTTCCCTTGTTGACGAAACTTGTGTTACGACATGCAACATCCTCGTTGTAGGACCGTCTTGTCCCATCCGCTTGGGTGACGACCGTGTTATTCCAAGTAAAGGACAGACACATATAGTGTATCAGCTGATAAATCATCAATTGCTGGCTCCGAGGCCTCGACATTTTCAAGCTGTACCACGAATAGTGTATCAGCTGATTTAACAAAATGCCCGAACTGGTTGGCCAACACACACAGCCCGCTCGGACGTTCCGGCGTCTGTGTATCAGTGAGCAAAGCATCGTTGACTTGCCACAGGATTGCCTTTCCGTTCTTGTTGAACGAGACAATGTTGTACTGGAAGTCCAGAATGACTTCGTTGGCTCGCAACCAATCCATGCCCAGGATGAGGTCGACACCTGACAAAAGTGATAGGACATACACGCGAATTGTTTCGCTATAGTCCTGTACCTAGTCCTCCCGTACTTGCTTTCGATGCTGAGGGCCGCCCAGTGAAGTTCGACACCTGGCTAGATGACCAGCACCTATTTTTTCCTACAGCTCACTGCCAAGGAGGATATTTCGCTGTACGATCATGCCCTCGGTCACGCTACTGCCCCTCCTACCACTGCAGACAGCACTCAGCGCTCACAGTGGCAGACTCGTGACGCCCACGCTCGCTTCGCTATTCGCAACTCCCTACCGATAGATGAGCGCGAGCATTTTGGCCAGCACAAGACTGCTAAGGACCTGTACACTGCTGTAGTTGCTCGTTACTCCTCACCTGCTTCTGCCACACTAGGCCGCCTCACCCTCCCCTACCTGTTCCCCGACCTGGCCTCCTTTCAGACAGTTGCTGACCTCATCACCCACCTCAAGACTAGTGAGGCCCGCTTTCGCGCTGCTATGCCTGACGAGTTCCTTGCTAGCAATCCCCCCCCGCTCTGGATCACGCTCTACCACATCGTCACCCGCCTCCCTGACTCTCTGCGCGCAGTCAGGGACCACTTCCTCGCTCGCTCCCCCACTGAGCTCACCATTGCCCTCCTCGAGAAGGAACTGCTTGCAGCCGAGGCGAGCATCGTTGCTGTAGGCACCTCTCGTGGCGACCCCCGCACCCCGTTCTTTGAGGGGTGTTCCCCTTCCCCCCTTCTCCCCTCTGTCGCCTCTGCTGCTGCTGTCGACCTCCTTGGTGCTGAGAAGGTCGGGGCCGCGTCTGCTCCGAGCGGGCGCCGCAGGAGCAAGGGGGGCAAGGGTGGAGGTGGTGGCGGGGGAGGCGGGGGTGGTGGCGGTGGGGGTGGAGGTGGGACTGGAGAGGCTAGTGGCGGCGGTGAGGGTGGTGACAGCAGCGGCGGGAGCGGTGGCAGGGGCGGAGGCGGCAGCGGAGGCGGAGGTGGTCGTGGCGGCGGCAGGGGTGGAGGTGGCCGAGGCGGTGACGGCGGCGGTGGTGGTCGTGGAGGCGCTGGCGGTGGCCAGAGCCAGCAGCACGCCCCGTCGCTCCAGGAGGCACGTGAGTGGTACTCGCAGCGGGGGGGGGCGGGTGGCTTTACCTGCACGTACGTCATCCGCACTGGAGACCGCACTGGCCAGACGTGTGGGAGGCCGCACCCCACGCACCGCTGTTTCTCGCGCCTCACCGACGCTTGGCGCGCTCAGTTCCCTGGCGGCGCTGAGCTTCCCCGCTGGGGTGATCTGGAGAGGAAGGGAGTTGATATCTGGGCTTTAGACTTTGATGCTATTCTCACTGCCATGTATGCGATGTTTACTAGTGGAGAGGGTGCCCAGTACTTGCGTGTTCCGCCCGACCCGGGCATTCTGACCAGTCCGGCTGCCGCTCTAGGTGCTAGTGAGTCTGCTGCCCCAGGTCCTGGTGAGGCTGTCGCTCTAGGTGCTCGTGAGTCCGTCCCCCCTGGTACTGAGTCGACTGCCGCACTTCACACCTTCACACTGGACTCTGGTGCTTCTCGCTGTTTCTTTCGTGACCGCACTGTCCTTGAGCCACTCGCTCGGCCAGTTGCTGTCTCCCTCGCTGACCCCTCTGGGGGTCCGGTCATTGCGACCTCCTCCACTGTCCTTCCTTGTCCTGCGGTCCCGTCAGGCACACTGTCAGGTCTCTACCTCCCCTCGTTCTCTACGAACTTGGTGGCAGGTAGTGCGCTCCAGGACGGGGGTGTTCACCAGTTCACCCCTGCATACGAGCGCGTGACGCACTGCACGTGTGCTCGGACGGGCCGTCACCTGGCTACCTTCACTCGGCAGCCGGGGTCGGACCTGTACACACTGACCACTGAGCCCCCTCAGGTAGCTGCGTCCGCGTCTGCGTCTGCGTCAGGTCAGCTGTCCGCCCCCTGCTCGTGTCGCTCTCTGGCGCATGGGACTGTCCTCTGGCACCACCGCCTTGGTCACCCATCTGTGCAGCGCCTTCGGGCCATGCACAAACAGGACCTTGTTGCTGGTCTTCCCAGGGTTCTCCCTCCCCTCCCACCCTCGCCTGCTCCTCCCTGTCTTCCCTGTGTCGAGGGGCGGCAGCGCGCCGCTCCTCACTCCTCCTCCTTTCCCCAGACGACTGCTCCTTTGCAGACGCTCCACATGGACGTGTGGGGCCCAGCCCGCGTCCGTGGTCAGGGTCAGGAGAGGTACTTCCTGATTGTTGTTGACGACTTCTCGCGCTACACCACGGTCTTCCCCTTGTGCACCAAGGGTGACGTCCCTGATGTCTTGATCCCTTGGATCCGCAGATCTCGTCTCCAGCTCAGTGAGCGTTTCCGCTCCGACTTCCCTGTCCTGCGTCTGCACTCTGACAGAGGTGGGGAGTTTTCCTCTGGCCTCTTGGAGGCCTTCTGTCAGCAGGAGGGCATTGAGCAGACTGTTCACGCTTCCGGCCTCTCCACAGCAGAATGGGGTTGCTGAGCGCCGCATTGGCTTGGTCATGGAGGTCGCTCGTACCTCCTTGGTTCATGCGGCTGCCCCCCACTTTCTGTGGCCATTTGCGGTCCGATACGCTGCGCATCAGCTCAACCTCTGGCCCCGTGTCTCCTTACCGGAGACTTCTCTGACACTGCGTTGGACGGGAGAGGCCGGCGATGCGTCGCGTTTTCGGGTCTGGGGATCCCGAGCTTTTGTTCGCGACACGTCCGCGGACAAGCTCTCCCGTCGCGCTGTCCCCTGTGTCTTCCTTGGCTTTGTCCCGGACGCGCCTGGTTGGCAGTTCTACCACGCCACCTCGCGTCGTGTCCTGGCCTCTCAGGACGTCACTTTTGACGAGTCCGTCCCCTACTACCGCCTCTTCCCCTACCGCACTGCCCCGCTCCCCCCCCCGCCTCTCTTCCTCGCTCCAGGTGCTGAGGTACCAGACCCCCTCCCCCCTCAGGGTGCCGCTCCCTCAGGTGTGTCCCAGGTAGACCCGGGTGAGCCTGTCGAGGTAGCTGTCGACTCTCGTCCTGCTAGGGGTGCTGAGCCTGGGGGTGCTGAGCCTGGGGGTGCTGCGTCTGGGGGTGCTGAGCCTGGGAGTGCTGAGTCTGGAGGTGCGGAGCCTGGGGGTGCTGAGCCTGGAGGTGCGGAGCCTGGAGGTGCGGAGCCTGGAGGTGCTGAGCCTGGGGGTGCTGAGTCTGGGGGTGCTGAGCCTGAGCGTGCTACACCTGGAGGAGCCCTCTCCTCCCGGCAGCTGCAGGAGAGGTATCTACAGTACTGCCGCCTCCGGAGAGGTGCTACTGGAGCTCGTACCAGTACTTCCCCTCCTTCCCAGGAGCTCCCCCCCATTCAGCAGATCCGAGAGTGGTACACGCGGCGCTGCAGTCTTCGGAGTGGTGCTCCTGGTGCTGCGGACCCTGGGGGTGGCGCTGCTACTGGTGCTGAGGACCCGGGCGTTGGAGCTGCTGCGGGTGCTGAGGACCCGAGCGGTGGCGCTGCTGCTGGTGCTGAGGACCCGGGCGTTGGAGCTGCTACTGGTGCTGCGGACCCGAGCGGTGGCGCTGCTGCTGGTGCTGAGGACCCGGGCGTTGGAGCTGCTGCTGGAGCTGAGGACCCGGACGGTGGAGCTGCTGCTGGTGCTGAGGACCCGAGCGGTGGAGCTGCTGCTGGTGCTGAGGACCCGGACGTTGGAGCTGCTGCTGGTGCTGAGGACCCTGCCGCTGGTGTCTCTGCTGGTTCTGGAGACGCTGCGCGGCCGCGACCGTACTTCGTACCACTTCTTCAGCAGGTTCTTGGTCAGGCTCCTCCTCCTTGTCCTCCTCCCTCCGTAGAGTGTCCTCCGCCTGTCCAGTCGCAGTCACAGTTACCGCCTGCCTCGCCTCTCCCTGGTCCCTCTCCTTACACTGGTCCCACAGGAGGTCTTGCAGAGCGTCGTGAGCCTGCGTCTCGTCCTGCGTCGCCTGTTCGTACTGCTCGCACTGGTCGTCGTGTCCCACGTGAGCGTCCTCCTCCTGTCCCTGGCACTCACTACATGACTCTGCGTCCCTCCACTGCTCCTCAGCGTGTCCCGCTGCCGTCTCCTCCTGCGTCCTCTCTGCCTACTCTTCCTGACCCGGAGTCTGACTCCCGTCGTGCTGCCAGTCCCACGGTCACCCGTCTTCTCGCCACTGTTGTCACTGACCCTACCTTTGAGTCCTCTGCTGCGTCTGCTCTGGTCGCTGAGTTGATAGACTTTGCTGCCCGGTGTCGTCTAGACTACGCCACTAGCCTTGTTGCTGAGTCTGAGTCTGAGTCTGTCTGTCCTCCGTCTGTCGGGGGTGAGTGTGCTCTTGGCACGGACGTCCTTGAGGACAGACAGGAGGAGTTCCAGTGCTTTGCTGCTGCTTTACCCCACCTCGTGTCCATGCTAGTTGCCCCTGAGGGAGACCCGGATGCACTAGACATCCCGACCCCGCGCACTTACGCTGAGGCGATGGCGGGTCCCTACTCCTCTCAGTGGCAGACAGCCATGGACGCAGAGATGGCTTCCTGGAAGTCCACAGGCACCTACGTCGACGAGGTTCCCCCACCTGGGGCGAACATCGTCAGTGGCATGTGGATTTTCAGGGTGAAGCGGCCACCGGGTTCTCCTCCTGTCTTCAAGGCGCACTACGTGGCTCGAGGCTTCAGTCAGCGAGAGGGAGTTGACTTCTTTCAGACCTTCTCCCCCACCTCGAAGATGACCACTCTTCGGGTGCTGCTGCACATAGCCGCTCAGCGCGACTACGAGCTTCATTCACTTGACTTCAGCACTGCTTTCTTGCAGGGCAGCCTGCACGAGGAGATCTGGCTGCGCCGCCCTCCTGGCTTCACTGGGTCGGTTCCTCCTGGTACCTAGTGGAGGCTCCAGCGGCCGGTCTACGGTCTCCGCCAGGCACCGCGTGAGTGGCACGACACACTGAGGACGACACTTGCGGCTCTTGGGTTCGCTCCCTCTACTGCTGACCCGTCACTGTTTCTACGCACAGACACCTCACTGCCGCCGTTCTACATCCTCGTGTACGTCGACGACTTGGTCTTTGCCACTGCTGACACCGCGGCACTCGCCCACGTGAAGTCGGAGCTGCAGAGGAGACACACGTGCACAGACCTGGGTGAACTGACAAGCTATCTTGGCTTGCGGATCACCCGGGACAGAGCACGGCGCACCATCACCTTGACTCAGTCACACATGGTGCAGCAGATCCTTCAGCGCTTCCGCTTCACGTACTCCTCGCCTCAGTCCACTCCTCTGCCTACCGGTCACTCGCTCTCAGCTCTGCCTTCGGATGAGTCCGTAGAGCCGAGTGGCCCGTATCCAGAGCTTGTGGGCTACCTCTTGACTCTGCTTGTACTGTGATCTGTATATATATACCTGCATGTTTACACCTGCTAGGCTGTGATCACTGTATCTCTTGCTATATTATCAACCTGCATGTGAACTGGTCTTGTGACCACTTGCTTGTGCTCAGAATTTGTGTGGTATCCTTGAGATCCACCCTGAGCTTGTTTTGCTTTGCTTTGACTGGTCTTGTGACCCCTTGCTCTCCCCCACTTTGCCTATGGGGTTGTGTCAAACATTATATATATGTTGTGGTTGTTTAGGCTACAGTGGGTTAGCCTATAGGGGGTACACAATTCTAGGGTTAGGTACTTGTACTGATTTCACTGTTAGTTCAATCATTCCAGTCCGTTCATTCTGACAAAAACCAGTTCCGCGCGATTTTTTCTAAGTCCCCCTCGATTCGGTTTTGAACACCCCTCAGGATTATTGGTGAAAAGGTTGGAAATTTAACCGTTTGATCGATTGTAATCTCAAGGGCCCTGAAAGTTTCGCCCAAAAAGGTTGGAATTTCGACCGTCAGATCGAGTATTTCTTCAAACAGCCGAGATCGAACGCGAATTTTGACTAGGGGAGATTTGCGCGACGGACAGAATTTGCGCTCGTCGATTCTACAGTCGATTCGACTCGTAGTAAGTCGACCAACACCCGTATTTTAATTATTTTCGTCGCGCATCTTTTATAAGAAAAATCGCGGAGTTACGTGCTGAACATAAGCAGAAACGTGCGGCGCTCCCAAGACTCGAATAAACTTCTCGCGAACCAATCGGTAGCTGTAGCAGCAGAAGAAGCGACGACGGTGACACCGACAATTCTACCTGCGACAACGGCAGCAGCTACAGTTAATCTCGAAGCAGCAAAGCTGAGACAACCAGACGTGTTCGATCCTATAGTCAAAGGGAGCGACGTTCGTCGATTTGTAGCTGAACTCGAATTTTATTTCGAAGTTGTTGGATGCACGACCCCCACCCAAGACGCATTGCGCATACGGCTCGCAGCAGCACTGTTACGAGGCCCATCTCTAGAGTGGATTAGCAACAGAATAGTCCAAGGCGAAGAGACGTGGGCGCAGTTTCGGGCAGCACTGATCGAACAGTTCGACACGTTGAACAGTAGCTACTACGGAACACGACGCAACAAGCCAAATAGTGGCATGGAGTGATTGGCACCACCCACGACTGCCGACCCGATGGAGAACGACAAGGACGATGCGACGCAGCGGTTAGCAAAAAATGAGACGTGAGAATTTTGCGGCGCTATAGGACATCGTATCTTGGCGTGTTGGAAGATGAAGAAAAGTACGTGCGGAGCTGAGGGACAAGAACAGTGTGACGAACTCGTCCTCTGCGAGCTTGTTGACCGCGTCCTCTGCGAGCCCGCTGACCAGCGTCCTATACGAACCCCTCGACCGGCGTCCTATACAAGCCCGTCCTGTGCCGACGACTTGTGTAAACTGGTCGAGGACGAACTCTACGGACAGGTCGAGGTCGCCTTCTGCGTGCCCCCGACTGCGAAGTCCGCTTCTCCCAAGCGAGGGCGGGGCTATTCCCGTCAACAGTATGCTGCCGTAAAAACTTAACTCAATCACAATTGTCTCACAAGAACGACACAAGAGAGTTAGAGTAGCTAGAAACCAGGTGGGAGGGGATGAGGAGGACGAGAGGGAAGGTCCCAAGAGAGTCCCCAACCAAGGAAACCCCATGCCACACACATCCCCTCACTATAGCAACCCCACTTTGACTTTTGTCACTTTCCCAACTCCCACAATAAACCTCACATAAGTTGGCCACAATTGCCAACCCAATTTGGTTTCTCCCAACCACTTGGCAGCATCTTGTTGTGTGATGCTATCATTCGCATTCACGTCTGTCTGCCTACCATAATATGTTTTTGCGTTGCATGCGTGGTGTAAGCGTATGCAGGAATTTGTGTTTGGTGTGGTTGGAATTTTGTGAGTGTGTGTGAATGTTATTTGGCTTGAGCAGATACCTGAATTGACTTCTCTGCTTGATAGATTTCCGACGAACCAAGAATCGTTGCGATCGGAGAAAGAACGACGAATTTATAATCATTCGAAGTTTTGATTAGGATGCGACAACTTTGGGAACTTGTGAAGTGATTCAATATGGAATACAGACTTTTGGGGGTTGGGAAATTCGTCCACATCATTGTAGATGATGCCAAGTGGTTGGGAGAAGCCAAACCAAGTTGGCAAGTGTGGCCAAGTGAGTCAAGGGAGTGGAGAAGCAGCTGAGAAAAGGAGTGAGCCGCCACCATCCAAGATTGAGGCATTGGATGGCTCCATCTATGAGGAATGGAGCTGGCGGATGCGGAGTGCGTTCAAGCGCTACAAGCTGCTGAAAATTGCAATGGGAGAAGAGAAGATGCCGGAGGAAGGAGATGCCCGCGATCGGTGGTTTTAAAATAGCGCGGTGTTGTACGACCTCATCCTCCAATCGGTCAACAACGACATGTTCCAGCACATCAAGGATTTGGTGGAGCTCGATGACTCGGCACCAAAGGCATGGAAGCTACTATGCGACGTGGTTCAGCCCAACACGCTGCCGATGGTGATCGTATTGGAGAAGGAGGTGGCTGCCCTCTCCATGCGTTCGGGACAAGGTCAAGGACACGTATGTGAGGATGGCAGCAGCGGGCAGCGAGGTGTCATAGATGCAGCAGTGCACCAAGATCATCTCGGTGCTCGACAACTCGTGGGACAACCTCATCCCCACCCTCAACGCTCAGCAGGACAAGTGGACGCCTGAATGGCTACGGCAGCAGATCCTGCAGGAGGACTTCCGCAGGTGCCACACGGGAGGTGGTGCTGCCAACAAGACCGCTGAGGGGTATGGAGTTGCAGGAGACAACATAGTCAGAGGGGGAGGGAGAGGCCGAGACCATGGGAGAGGCTTTGGCAGAGGGAGAGGCCGAGGTGACTACAATGAGGGGCATGGGAGCTCTGGTGGCAGGGGGAGCACCCGAATGGAGGGTGCATGCTGGTACTGCAAGAAGGCTGGACACCCGTGGTTCAAGTGTTTCAGCCGGCCTGAGGGATGGGCACCTCCAGGCATGAAGCCGCCAAGTAGTTAACGTGCACGAGGTGGCGCTGTGCAAGGTTCAGGTGCACAAGGTGATGGTGCACAAGGTAAAGCCTCCCCTGGGATGTTCCTCATGGTTGAGGATGTGAAAGAGAGTGAGGATGATGTGGGTTCGGTTGGAAAGGTTGTGATGCACCCCCTCACTCACTGGGTGATAGATTCAGGTTGCACGAGTCACATGACTCCGCGGGCAGATTTACTTGATGAGGTGAAACCCTCCTTGAAGATCAAGTTTGTGGTTGCCGCTTCAGGTGCTTTGCTCCCTGTGATTGGTGTGGGGAATGCGAAGGTGATGGGAGCCAAAGGGCAGCTTCTGGGACTTGGGAATGTGCTGCTAGTTGAAGGTTTATCCGCTAACCTCCTCTCTGTGCGCCGACTGCAGAAAAGCAAGGCCAAAGTTACGTTCGGCCCAACTAGCTGCTGTGCAATGCTTGGGAAGTTGCTGCTGTGGGATTTGGACGAGAAGAGCAGCTGCATCAAGGACCTATGACAACTGCCCATTATCCCTTGGAATGGGAAACCACCAGCAACGGCAAAGGCAGCGGCAGCGGCTAAGGCAACTGCGGGAGGAGAGGAGACTGCAGAAACCACAGCAATCACATGGTGAAGTGCTTGCCCGTGTGGATGCAACGGCTGCATGGGCGAAGGCTTCATCTGGGAGTGGAGAGGCCGATTGGGAGATGTGGCACGAGAGGTTGTGCCACATCAACATTCCAATGCTGTAGAAGTAGGTGAAGGATGGGAGCCTGAAGGGATTGGAGTTGAAGGGGGTAGCAAAAGAGATTGGGAGCTGCCCTACCTGCCTTGGGACAAAATTCACAAAGTTTCCTTTCAGCAGCAGCACGGGACCAGTCAAGGCCCCGCTCTTGCTTGTGCACATGGATGTGGTGGGTCCTACGAGGGCCCCTTCGCACTTGGGCAGCCGCTACTTCTTGACCATCGTGGACGACCACACGCGTGCGGTGTGGGTGTACCCTCTCAAGTCTAAGGGGGAGGTGGCAGCGGCTGTTCTCAAGGAGTGGATGCCGAGAGCTCAAAGGGAGAGCGGACACAAGGTGAAGGTGATCCACACCGACAACAGGTGAGAGTTCATTGGCAATGAGTTTGAGGCGGTGCTGAAGAAGAAGGGCATTCAGCATCAGCTCACAGTGCCCTACAACCCTCAGCAAAACGGTGTGGCTGAGCGGTTCAACCGGACCCTGCAGGAAGGTGCTCGCACTCTCCTTGGGCGTGCAGGGCTGCTGGATCCGTTTTGGGTGATTGCACTGAGGCAGGTCATTCTTGTAAAGATTAGGGTGCTGGCGACTGTGGGGGACAAGCAGTGGATCCCCTACACCAAGTGGTAGGGGAGTGGACCAGTAGTCAACATGATGAGAGCTTGCGGGTGCATGTTGGTGTTTCATGTGTCGAAGGAGA